AAAAAAAATAATTATACTCATTAAAAAAACACAAGTCATACAGGTGGACATTTCTAATTATACATAATCACCAAAACATACCTATAAGTAACACTGTCTGAAAGTATAGGATCTTCAGTTTGTCAAGAAAGTCGGACACAAGGGACACTCTGTGCAGCACCTGTAGGTACCATGTTTTTTCATGAGTTGCCTGCTTCCCATTTCATTTCGTAGTCAACTCTTCCATGTCATGTATAAATTTGAGTTTAGCTTGGAGAAATGGAGCTCACTGTCCATTTCCCCCCCCCAAGTAGATTATTTCTGCATTACAAATCTTATATAATTTAAGTGTAATTGGATACAAGTTGAAATGAGGAGTATAAAGGTGTTTGACAGGCAACATATGGCTTTGTTTTATCTTAAACTTTAAAGGGACCCTATAGTTACCAGAACAACTACAGTTTAATGTAGTTGTTCTGGTGTCTGTCTGTGCCTGAAGGCTTTTTAATGTAAACACTGCCTTTTCAAGGAAAATATAGTGTTTCTATTACTGCCCAGGAACAACTCCAGTGGCAGTCACTCAGATTGTCACTAGAGGTCTTTCCTGGGTCAGTGCTGCACAATGCGCAGCACTGAAGTTCAGTATCTCCATGCCCTTCATGGAGACGTTGAATGTTCCTCATACAAATGCATTGATTCAATGCATCTCTATGACAAGATGCTGATCGGTGCAGCATGCACTCGACTCCCAATACTTTCCTATGGGCAAGCATTGAATTGGCTGAGATCAGTGGCGTACATACCAGGGTCGCAGGGGTCGCGGCTGCGACCGGGCCCGGCCCACCAGGGGGCCCGGCCGCCCCTGCGACCCGGTATGTACCCACAGGGCCAGCCTCTTCCCCTGGGGGGCCCAGGAGGCGGCCACCCCAGGGCCCCCCGAGGCTGGCCCCGCTGTCACCGGGCAGGCGGGCGCGCGAGGGAGCACTCAGTGCTTCCTCTTCAGCTCCCTCGCGCACTGCACTGATACCGGAGCCGGAAGATGACGTCATCCTCCGGCTCCGGCATCCCTATGCGGCGCGCGAGGGAGCTGAAGAGGAAGCACTGAGTGCTCCCTCGCGCGCCCGCCTGCCCGACCGGCCAGCAGCACCACTGGACCCCAGGGAATCCCCCCAGCACTCCAAAAGGTAAGGAGGCTGGGGGGATTAAATTTTTTTTTTTTTTAAATGTATGTGTGTGTTAGTGTATGTGTGTATGTGTGTGATAGTGTGTGTGTGTGTTAGTATGTGTATGTGTGTGTGTGTGTGTGTGTGTGTTTTAGTGTTTGTGTTAGTGTGTGTGTCAGTGAGTGTGTCTGTTATTGGGTGTGTGTCTGCTAGTGAGTGTGTTACTGTGTGTGTCTGTTACTGAGTGTGTTTGATGTCTGTTAGTGAGTGTGTGTTTGTCAGTGAAAGTGTGTTTTGTAAGTGAGTGTGTATGTATGTCTGTCGCTGAGTGTGTCTCTGTCAGTAAATGTGTGTGTCTGTTAGCTAGTGTGTATGCGTCTGTTCGTGAGAATGTGTGTGTATGTCTTTAGCATTTACCTTTCTCCAGTGTCGGACTTCCTTGGCGCTGGGGATCCCTCCGCCTCTCAGCTCCGAATGCACATGTGCGGCAAGAGGCGCATGCGCATTTAAACCGCCCATAGGAAAGCATTACTCAATGCTTTCCTATGGACGTACAGTGTCTTCTCACTGTGATTTTCACAGTGAGAATCGTGGAAGCTCCTCTAGCAGCTGTCAATGAGACAGCCACCAGAGGCTGGATTAACCCTCAGTGAAACATAGCCGTTTCTCTGAAACGGCTATGTTTTCAGCTGCAGGGTTAAAACTAGAGGGACCTGGCACCCAGACCACTTCATTGAGCTGATGTGATCAGGGTGTCTGTAGTGGTCCTTTAAGTGTGTGTACATACCGCGGTCGCGGGGTCGCAGCCCTGCAACCCCTGCGACCAGGTGCCCGCCGCCATGTGTTGCGGCTCCGACCCGCGCGGGGGGGCCCACGGATCAATTTTCGCACCGGGGCCCCATGGATCATGTGTATGCCACTGGCTGAGATTATCAAATTTGATGATCTCAGGCAAGAAGGCTTTAGTGGGGGCTGGGTCAGTCGCGAGGAGACACAAACGGCGCTAAAAAAAAGGTGAGTAAATCAACCGTTTTAATGGAGGTTTAGGAGAGCTGTAAATGTAATCTTAAATAAAAATACACTTTTCTTATAAGTCAGCAACCAGTTCACAATGCCACCACATGAGTTACATCCTCGGAGACCACCTCTGTCTCTATCGAGGTCAATTTCCCGAAGTTGTAAAAACGCTCTTTATGAGACTATTTTGATGTCTTTTGGTTTAACTTTTTTTGAAGAATAGTGTTTTAGAGAAGACTATGCTTTAGTGTTCACCGATCTATCTATTATTATCCGTAATTAGCCATGACAGATTAAACTACAAAAATATATTTGCCCAGAGATGATTTGGCAGCAAGTTACTGCTAAATACTGGCATGTAATGTTCACTTAGAACTCCGGGCAACTTTTCACTCTTTGTTTGGAGACAGATTTTTAAGTATTATCTTGAAAGTTAGATTTGGATGAAATTGTATGATTTCAAAGCTGGCAAACCTATCGAATGTCTTTTTGTTTTAGGATTATTTAATATAGTGAGAATTCAAAGTGTATTTCAAATAAAATAGATAAATTGGAAATATTCTCCAAGTCAGCTAAGCTTCCAACTCTATTTAAAGCAACACTATACGGTCAGGAACACAAACATGTATTTCTGACTCTGTAGTGTTAAAACCACCATTTAGGAGGCTTGCCTTGCCCTCCCCTCCCTCCCCCTGCCCACTTAGAAAGGGTTCAAACTTACCTTATTTCCAGCTTTCCACAGATCTGCCGTTGTTGTCCACGCCCCCTATCTGCCACTGTTACTGACATAAACAGTATTAATATCAGCCAATCCAGTGCTTTCCCACAATAAGATGCATTGATCCAATGCAGAGCGTGGAGATGCTGAATGTGCAGCACTGCCCCAGGAAGCACCTCCAGTGCTCACTCCTAGGTATCCCTAGGCTTTAATATAAATACTGCCTTTTCTCTGAAAAGACAATGTTTACAACAAAAAGCCTGCAGGGTCTGACTACACTCACCAGAACTACTACATTAAGCTGTAGTTGTTCTGGTGATTATAGTGTCCCTCTACGTCTAAAATGTGACTTTTTCTTTTTCACATTGAATTTACAACAATTCTCACTTGAGTGAATATACAAGAATGTTCGCATCTGTTTTATTCCATGCCAAGTCCTGCATTTGTGACCATGTAATTTAGAAGTGCTTTTTAAACATTCCTCTTTAAGTTGTCTATTTTATAGTAAGAGTAACCTACTGCTTTTTCTTTTGGATTTTTTTTTTTTTCAGGAAGAAAACTACAACCAGTGCTTTCTACATGATGATGATTCTACTGACACAGATGACTATGAGGATAGGCGGAGGGTTTTCGATATGCCCAACCCACCTGTCCACTGTCCACGTTTTACATGAGCAATTCCCTCTTTAATGTGGGTGACATTGAATACAAAAAGCATACTTTGCAGCATTTTGTGCAGTATTCTTGTGCTTTTTTTTTTTCCGTTTCTTTTTTAACTTTCCTTTCTCTGGTGGGTTTGCTGTTCAGAATTGGATCGTCTTGTGACATCATCAATGTTCTGCGCTTCTGAAAAAAAACGCTGTCATTGCCCAGGATAACAGCTGGCCGCACTGCTTTTTAATCCATTTGTGTAGACGTGGTAGTCTGATGATTATGTGAAATTATCTCCTTTTAATTCAATGAGATACAGTTTTCTGCGTGGGGGGCGTTTTCTCATATCATTGTTGATATTTACAGGGATCGTCTAATGGATTCAAATGAACGCAGACTTTTAACGTCTGTCTGCAGTGCACCATTATAGTGAAAACTAATATTGCATTTATAGGTTTATACTTCTAATCGTGAGATAAGCAGGTCTTCTGTAATACAGCAATGTCCCAAATGTGCATTTGATGCCTTTCAGCAATTATATAGGCATGGCTAAAAACATCATTCTAGGCTGAAAATGTAAAAATAAAAAACAAAAAACAAACAGACTTGTACTTTGTGTGTAACATTGGATGAATATTAACATTTACTATTCAGTCCTCTTTTTCCCAGAATATGAAACATGTAAAGACATTTGTCTGCTCAATTCAAAATAGACCCTTTTTGCATAGCTTTTAAAGATGTCTGAACTTGGAATATAATAAAGTTCACATAACAACATGTCAGTTCTGATGGCTGGGTGACTGCGTGACCGCTCACACAGAAATGTAGTATGCAGTCTTACACTGCCATAAGAAAGTAAGTAATTCTTGGAAAAAAGTCTTTCAAAACGTAGGCCTCAATTTACTATTTTGGATAAGCTTTTCAAATGATTTGACAAATTTGGATAAGCTTTTTAAATGAATTTTTTTTTTTTCTCAAATAATAAACTAAACAAAAATATATATATTAAAATACCAAAATATTGCCTTCTAATTTTGCCCTCTCTTGTCTGAAAATGCTATCTTTTGGGCACATACACAGGTTGTCTCACTTCTCCCTTTAAAGTTGTAACCACCCCACTGTACATTGGTGTCTTAACCCCTTAAGA